TTGGGTGCTAATTTTAGTGATGATTTTAGGCAATGCTTCATGTCTATGGTTAGAGATTGAGTTGTTGAGGTGAAAGATATTGTCTTTTGAGTTGGATATGTGTCTTTTGTTCCAATTCTTTTTAAAATTTCAGGATGCATTCCATGGTATACAGTAATATATGAAGCATGCGACGAACCCAGGCTCGTGGGTAGCCTGCGATGAACCCAGCTTACGGGTTCACGAAGAACCCAGGCTCCTGGGTAGCCTGGGTTCGCCTGGGGGTAAAAGGAAAGGAAAAAAAAAAAAAAAAAGGCCAGAGGAAGTGGAGTCCACGTGGATGGTGACATGGAGTCCATGTAAGCATCTTTTACGTGTTGGCATATCCACATCAGCTGTTTTAGTTAAGTTAACGTGCCACGTGAGCAAAAATTAACGGAGGGACCAAAAAGGGGCTGGATTTGTGAACAGTAAAGACTAAAAAAGGGATTTTTTTCGATACAGGGATCAAAAAGGGGCTTTTTCCTATAGTAAAGGGACCAAAAAGGGTATTTAACCAAAAAAGAAAAAAAATTTTAAGTTTTATTTTTCATAATATTTTTTTATATTATTTTTTTCCACATCATCACTTTTTTTTCCACATCATCACTTTTTATATTACTATATGACATGTCATCTGGTAATTGTTAAGTAACAGGCTACGTCACACAATTTTTAACGAAAGGACCAAATCGGGGTAAAAATGGTAAACAGTAGGGACCAAATTAGGGATTTTTTTAGTTTAGGGACCAAATCGAGGGTCCGTACAATAGTTCAGGGACCAAATCGAGGGTCCGTACAATAGTTCAGGGACCAAATCGAGGGTCCGTACAATAGTTCAGGGACCAAAAAAGGGTTTTAACAATTAATGTGTGATCATAACTACAGCCTTACAAGATAATTAACTAAAGCTTGATGTATAATGTTAAGAAATCAATTTATTCTAATTTTAAATACACTAGTTATCAATCTTTAGAGCATAACAATAGCTCATATCTTAGTTACCCACAATTTTTTTGAAGTGCATGAAGCAAGACATGTTCTATTACCCACTTTTTAGAATAAAATTTTTTAAATATATTGTTTAGAAAAGAACCCTAAATTCCTAATTGTTTTGAATTAAAAGTAAAAAAGTTAAAACATTAAGCAAATCACATTTGGATGCAAAAAGATAAAATTTAAAACTATCTCAATTATACTCATTAGCTAGATCGGTGATTACTATAGTGAAATTGATATTATCATTGAGATCCCATTTTGCAAATTATATTATAAAAAAATGCTCCATGTAATTGAAATTAATTTCATATAACAATAGACATGGTCACAGCAATGAAGAATTAAGAATTGTAGTCTAAGATTTTATTTATTCATTTTGATTTTGGTGAAGTGTATATTCATTCAATTAGTTATATTATCAACTTATAATTCCAAAGCCAAAAACCCTTATAATTCGATTGATAAGGTGTATACTCTTTTATCCCCAAGAACTATGCTTAGGTCCCCAAAGTAAATCTCATGTTAAAAGAACTTAGGCCTCTAGTTCCTTAACTAGTCATACTGTAATTAGTCAAAATATAAAAATAAAAAGTTTGAGAGCTGGATTGAGAAAATAGAATTAAGGTTAAACACCATTTTGGTCCCTCAACTATTGTATGGACCCCTGATTTGATCCTTCAACTTAAAAAATTCTTGATTTAGTCCTTATTGTTTATCATTTCAACCCTAACTTGGTCCTTTTGTTAAATTTTTGCTAAGATGACCTGTTAACTAACAGAATGAAAATGACGTGTCCAAATATTTGACACATAAGATTGAAAAATAGGGATAAATGAATGACATGGCTAAGATTTAAACCACATAATCAAACAAATATAATTATTTAATCCATCAAATTTACAATTTTCCCTTCATCTTCTTCCCCAACTTCCTCCTCCTCAAATCTTCTTCATTCACTTTAAATCAAATAGTCAATTTAATGAGATCAATTAATTCATCATCATCATCACACAAAATTGCCTTATTTAAGGCTTGTTGGGTTTGAAAGAACCCAACAGAGCTGTTGGGGGTTCGAAACCCAACGAATCTGCTGGTTTCAATGATCTGCTAGGTTCCAACAAACCCATCAAATCTGTTGGGTATGGAACCTAGCAAATCTATTGGGTTCGATTGAACCCAACAAATTTGTTGGGTTTGAGAATGACTTAACATCTAATTGCAAGGTAAGATCGAGTTTGGTGTGGGTTAAGATAGGAGATTGGTGAAGCTGAGGGATAGAAGCTTCTGGACTATGGTTGAACTGACAAGGCTACGATGGCTGGCAACAAATACCTTAGCCGATTTGTTCCAGACATTTTCCGACAAAAGGTACCCGTTTGCCCCTTAACTTTTTGACTTTTAGGGTTTTACCCTCCATATTACAATACATGGATTTTTACCCTCAATGTTTTCGAGTTTGAGGAAATGAGGCAAAATTTAACGCCGGAGCTCACGTGTAGCACGTGCACTGTTGGCCTCCATCAAGTATGCGCATGTCAGCGCTAACTCAGAATTTTTTGACAACCTGGCATGCCAACTTGGAACCCCACGAGCGAGAAGTCTACCTGCTGCCAATTTTTTTGTGGGCCCCACCGCTGATTAGAGGTTTGAAAAAAAAAAAGAAAGACAAATGAATGCCAGGAAACCGTCCGACTCCGAGCATTGTGTCGAGAACAAAGAAAAGCTTCTATTAACCCCACAACCCCGAAAAGGACCACAGAAGGAAACAACTTTACTCCACCCACCAACCAAACGAATCTCCATTGAAGGAATAGAATAGAACATTCGAAAGGGACCACAAAGCACAGACGATTCTAACACTGTTCTTGGTGCCATTGACAGGTATTTTTCCTTTTATTCTAACAAAATCTTGTTTAACTTTTACTGATATTTAGCATACGGGTCATGGATTTGTGTTAGAAGTGATTTTTAA